ACTATATTTTGTATATTCAAAATATAAATAAAAACCATAATGGTATCTCAATTATACTAAAAAAAAAAAAAAAACTGAACCAAACCATAAACATAACTGACAAATAACTCTCATATTTAATACACAGTAACACTCATAATCGTGACCAACTATATTTTACTTTATTTCATAATATTGATTTTAAAAAAAATCTTGGTAACACTTGATTTGTAGCCTTTTTATAAAATGCATCATAAAAGTATTTTAATGCATTAATCATTTCTTATAATGCACGTCACTTAATTATGTCATTAATAACTCTAACCACAGTTATAATGCATTATAATACTTATCTATTCACTGTTACACACAAAATATAATGCATTAAAACACATGATAAACAACCAATTTCCGATGTAACAAGGAATATATCGCATTTTAAATGGTTGTAATTTTTATGAAAATGAATACCGTACACTATGAATACCTTACACTGCATTATACATAAAGGCCTCAAGTAAAATCTCTTTGCATTGTGTGCATACGAGGCATTTGTACATCAGCGAAGCACTATGACTGACTATTAATTGAACATTACCTGTGTCTCCTATGGAAACGCATGATCTTTTTGTGGAGGCACTCTTGGTTTGGAATGTACCTCTTGTCCAAATGCTGCTTGTCCAGCTCTTCTACATAGTCGCCAATCTCTGCTGCAGAAACACACAGACATTACTTCAGTCACATTAGTTCAATCAAGCACAAGCAGCATGGGAAAGTCTGCATACCCTGAAGAAGATAGGAAACCAGCAGAGCAGCGCTGTTATCGTTACACGTCAGACTGCCGTTAGACAGATCATGCTTGATCTGCAGCGCAAACAGATACCTGTGAGAGACGGAGTCCAGAGATGTTCACTGTGCCATTATTGTTTGATGTAGTGTGTGATGGGCTGTGCTGCACCTGGTTAGTTCTTTCTGCAGTTGTCCTGGGTCTGGAGGGAAAAACTTCGCTATGAAGCGGAAAGTCCGATCATTCCTTCCTGTTTTAAGAAGAGGAGAATATCGTTTTTGGTTGTTTATCAGCTTTTCCCTTCACAGATGTTAATTTTTACTGGAGTGGTGTGGATTATTGTGATGTTTTTATCAGCTGTTTGGACTCTCATTCTGACGGCACCCATTCACTGCAAAGCATCCATTGCTGAGACACTGATGCTACATTTCTCCAAATCTGATGAAGAAACAAACTCATCTACATTTTGGAGTAAATTTTCAACAAATTTTACATTTTGGGTGAACTGTTCCTTTAAGGGCACATAAAAAAAATGATATGCATGGATAAATCACTTACAATAAACACTGCAGCAGTTCATACAAAAAATAAGAAGTCTATTTTGATTTCATGGTGACTTTAACATAAGAACGAGCCGAGGTAAAGATCAAATACATCTGCATCAGCGTGAATCCAATGGAAATTATCCATGCAAAAGCTTTTGGTGCATATAAGTACAAATAATCCACACGATTATTAGTAAACGAGTTTTGGATTTGCTCTGAAATAAAGCACCAAGTACGCCTAAATGAGATGGCAAACCAGGCCTAAAATCATACAATAACCTATGTAGTACAATAACATATAATGAATAAATTAACATACGTATACAACTGGCAAAACAATATTGGAAATAACTATTATAGTCTACTTTGAGTTATGATTTGAATGTTTACAGACTTACTTTTAATCTGTTTCGCAAGAGGCTTGAGCAGTTCCAACCAAACCTATGAAAAAAATGAACATGAATGACTTCAGCTCAAAGAAATATTAACACGTCATCTATACTATATTAGTGTTTTACTAAGATATAACTTACATAACTGCCACAATGATGTCGGAACTCAAGCCCAAAGTATTCACTTTCCACAAGTTTTAGGTGTCCGCATACTGCGTTGAAGAAATCCTTTCCCAGCACCCTTTGCTATAAAAAAATCTAAATCAAGTCACTGCTGAACTCAATAATATTGCTATTATAAACGCATCCATGATATCAGCCACAGTGAAATGAGAATTTAGGAAAATAATATAATATTGATAACATGCGGCCTTATGGTCAGAAACTCAAGCGTGCACAGAAAAATTGGGATGCTGACATACATTTTCTCATGCAAACCCTTAAGCCAAACTGTCCTGGTATTCTAGACCACTCACCAGAAAGACACACACACACACACTTGCATGACTTATTGTCCAACGTCCCACTCAAAAGATGCAATAAATGCCCCTCGGCATATATGGCATAAAATAAGAAGCAATAATGGAGTTATCCAGCATGCTTTTGGAAAATGTGAAGAAAACAACTTTAAAGCTGGCTTTAAATCATTCTCAGATGTGGTGGCACAAACTTTGATTAAAGCAGAATTATCTGACCTCCATTTCAAAAACATGCTCGCTATCATCCAGAAAGATGACTGGAAGAGCAAGCAAGCTGTCTTTCTGCGGCTTTCGTGTGTTTTCAGATTTGAAGAGCTCGGGTTGCTTTCTTCTGCAGCTCATACTCATGTCGCCCTTATGAATCAACACCCTAAAAAATCAGCACACGAGAGAACAATTAGTAAAACACATTTAGAGTTGGCTTCATTTTCAAGGCATAAACCTTAATTAATAAGCCATTAACAAACATTTCATAAAGATTTACAGATTAGCTGCATATATTATACCTTATTAATAAATATCAGTAAGATATTACATGCATGTTAAGTATATGTCAATAAACATAAGTGTTATTACTAAAAGTTATTAAAAGAATGCATTTTACAGTGAAATATCAGAACGTTGAACCTAATGTAATGCTACTGTGAAATGTAATAAATCAGGGCTTTATTGTACAATGAAACGACAGAAATGTTGTTTGGCATCTTTATACATCATTCCATAAATTTAAAACGTGATGTGCAATCTTTTTATAGTCTTTAATAAGCAAATATTTTTAATGTGTACTTACGTTTTTCTGATGCCATGATATGACTTTGTGCCTATGGTCCTCTCTCAAATCAAATAAAGGATGTGCATCCTTCGACCAATCCGCCTGCGCAGCTGCAGCACAAATACACGCTTACAGCACAGAAGTAGACTGCGTCTTCTCCTTCATTTTCCTCCATTGTAGCAGGTTTTTGCAACCAGTTCATTATGTAAGAAGGCATTATGTTTCAAAGAAATTGTTTGAAAGTGGGGCCAATATAATGTTCTTTTTTTTTGTTATTTGTCAATTCTCTTTATTATAAGTGTTATATTTCATTTTATTACCTTAAAGGGGTCATAGGATGCCCATTTTCCACAAGTTGATATGATTCTTTAGGGTCTTAATGAAAAGTGTATACTAACTTCTTCTGTAGATGAGGCTGGATCATGAATGATTCACGCGAACATAGACACATTTATGTAGATCGGGGACGCATTCCCTTCAAAAACAAACGTAATCCACTGCGTCTTCAGCGGCTCAGATGTCGGGAGTAAATGAAGACTGCTATGTTCATTATTACATCCAACAACAGAACACCTCAATCGCTCAGGAGTCACTCTTGTCTACATCTGCTCCAGCGGAGAAACAATGGCGGACTGATGACAGTCACTCAGGGCGGGTCTAAGGTAAGACGCCAGTCCAGTCTGTGCTGAAACGCTACTGTCAATCAAACTATCGTGGGAGGGGCCTGTCTGTGTGACGTCACACAGACAGGCATCTGAGATCGGCTCGATTTGAGAAGGGGTAAAGATTTTAGTAGATTAACAAAAAACCACTGGGTGGATTTTTATCATTTTAGGCTGGTTGTGTACACACACTGCCAACAAACAACTTGCAAAAGTGCATGTAGCACTATATGTCTGTACTTTTTTTCTGCACTGGAAGCTCTAGTCACCAAGACGAATTCCTTGTGTTTGTAAACACACTTGGCTCTTTATGATTATAGTTTTGACGCGGAATAACGATTAACATTGATAAAAAAGCTGATTACATGTAATCAGTCAATTCGCAGCACTGCGTCATACATAATGACTTTGATCTTTACTTTAAAGATGTTTTGTTTGGATTTTTCACTTTTGAGAAGCAATATGAAAATGTTTACTTTCTTTGCAACCTAATTATGTTGCTTGCAAATTATTTGAAATGCAAGATTATGAACGTTTTTTTTCTCACATTATGGTGTTTTTGTATACTTTTTATGCTTAATTTTTATGTTTTGTAGGAAAGATTATGTTTATTATTATGTGATCTTTAATTTTTTCGATTTTTAAAAAAAAAATTGATGTAATTGTTTTTTTGTTGTTATCTTATTTTATTATTATTATTATCTCTCTCTCTTTCTCTCTCTTCTGAATTTTAATTGCTATGTATTGTTTGGCCATCCTTGAACCCCTTGCTCTTTTCCTTTGCATATGTTTTTCCACTTTTGTGTTCTCTATAAGCAAAACAAAAAAAGTCTTTGCATTTGTCCAGTAGATGTCAGTAGAAACACTAAAATAGACAGCAAGAGAAACTGAAATCTGTGGATTGAGCTTTCATTACATAAACAAATAAATGTAATCTCTAGATAAAAAGCAAAATATTGCCTTTTAATACGCAGGCCCTAAAATACATGGTTATCTACCGCTAAAATAAACAAAATACACTTTCTCATTCCATTCATGCTCACTCACACGCATTAACTTTGAAGACAGACTTGATTTTATTTGATTTTTTTATATTTTACTATCATTCCTACAGACTAACCCTGTTTCTAAAATAATAATAGAAAAAACACACCCCCCTCATGCTTTATATCATGGCCTTTAATGTTCTAAAAGTTAAATACAATTACTACACCATAACTCTACCCCTTAAAGACACACTTTAGCATTTTTATAACTGAACTCATTAGTCTCTGTATATTCTAATCCTATGGATAAGACAATAAACCGACCATTTCATATAAAAGAACCCGTATGTGCGACCCACTAACACAGTTCAGTACGTGGGTGACGAGTGTATGGGCGGGTCAACCAATCGTGACGTCACATTTGTGGGCGGTGCCAACAGCTTGGGCTCAAATACGAGGGCGGAGTCAAGCGCCTTGTGCGACTTTTCTTTACTTGCATTCTTGAGTCTAATCGCACATTCTGTGCTCTGGTGTATGTATATAACTTGTTTTACACCTGCTAGTCTTTTATTGAGCTTCTGTTGTTTTTAAGTGAAACAGTTTTTAAATGTGTTTCGTTGTTGTGTCTTTTTTCAGGCATGGGGGAATTATATTTTTGCACATTTATGCAGTGGCCGCCAATGACAGAAGCCGTGTTTCTTTTTCAAAGGTCATTTTTATGCCAAAACTTTACATGCCTTTGTTTACAAGTTGATGCAAATCGACCCGCCCATATCTCTTGTGCGCGTTTAGTTTCACAAATGATGCTTTCTGCTTCCTGATGCAGTTAAAATGCCCTGCATTTGTTCATTTTAGTAAACACCAACAAGAATTATTAAAATGTAGACAGTGATTGTAAAAACTGTAGTGTAGGCCTGATGTTGGGACTGTTTTGCATTGCATGCACCCCAACATCAGGCTCTCAAAGAAGAGGAAATGCACTGAAAGCTTGGAGGTTCAAACTGAATAAGGACACCTTGATTAATGCACTGCATTCTTTGCTCAGATAGGTCACTTTGGATAAAAGCAGCTGCTAAATCACTAAACTGCATTTCTTTTGTCAGGCATTACTTCTAATGGAAAGGACTAGTTTCCAGAACAGCCATGAAACCGCCTGGCGAAGAAGAGAGTCAGCGGCTGGGTACACTTTTGCTCAACACCCTTGCAAGAGAAATGCGTCTTTGGAGAGCACCAGTCCTTAAGAACGGTTGCATTCAGGTGGGAACATAAGGCTTCTGAACTTCCTTAAAGGGATAGTTCACCCAAAAATGAAAATTTGATGTTTATCTTGAGCTCTACATTTGCCATGTTTCGTGTGCTCTCAGGGTTCAGATATCAGCCCACCTCAGTACCAGGAGGTGATCGTGTGGTTGTGTGAAATGAGCAGCCTATTCCAGTTTTCCTCCGAGACGTTTGCTTTGGGAGTTTGTGTTCTTAACAGCCTGCTTGCAGCAGTCAAAGTAAGTGAAACAGTTACTACCTTTGTATAACTAGAAAAGATGAAGGGCACAGAATCAAAGTCCTCTTTCTTTCCAGACTCGACAGAAATACCTCAAATGCGTGGCCATCACCTCTCTGATCCTTGCTGCAAAGATCAACAAGGAAGATGAGGCAAGATCTATACCTATGTGTCTGTCTTGTTGTAGCACAGAGACTCCCCACACAATTTTTAACCATTCCAGCACGTTTATTGATCTGTTTTTGTTGGTGAACAGGTGATTGCATCGGTTAAAGACTTGCTGGAGCAAAGCAGATGCAAATTCTCAACAGCAGAGATTCTTCGCATGGAGCAAGTCATATTGAACAAGCTGCACTGGGACCTTTACATCGCCACACCGATGGATTTCATTCACATTGTGAGTCGCAACTGATGTGTCTGCAGAAATCATGCAACTCTTTTAATGTTCCAAACATGAGAAAAACTGACTTTTGGTCCTTGACGTTGTGCATGTGAAAATCTGCAGCCGCGGGGCGATCTACCACTTGCGACAAGTTGCATGCGGTGTGTATTCGGCCAAGGCACTAATCTGGCTTGTACTTTAGCAGTAAAGCAGATAGATAACCCTGCAAAACATCTCCAATACAAATATTCTCAGAAATAGGAACTACCTTCATACTTCGTCTTTCCTACATTGTGGGGTTGTTGAAACATCTAAAAATATGACTGATGTTCTTTGCACAAGTTAGTGTGGCTTAGACACGGTTGAGGGGTGCGTTTCCCAAAAGCATCATTTGCTATCTATGGTCGCAAGTTCCATTGAATTCTGTTGGTAACTTGCGAGCATATTGCTTTTGGGCAACGCTCCCCAGATTAATCCGAGCAACAGTTAACACATGGAGAGCAATTGCTGTTTTAGCACACCACGGACAGTCATAAAATAGCCACTAGAACTGTAAAGTATGTGAAACGAGACCCTGTTAAAAATACATTCCTGATGCTTAAAACAAATCTCGAAAATTAAATTTAATATATGGGAGAAACTCATGAAACATGGGTATAATTTCACCCCAAATCAAAATGATAAATATATTTTGGATAAAGAAAACGAAGCCTGTTTTAGGACCGTTAGGATATTTTGTATGGGAATTCAAATTTAATAGAATTTACCAAAAAACTGCACATTTAATGGCCGTTTTTGGTGTGAAAAAGCATTATACGTGAACCTTTGTGGAAAATAATCAAATAACAATTTTTAAACAATTAAAAAAAAAAAACTCCTTTAAGGTTATTTTCAAAACATGTTTTCTAGTGTTTTATCACCAGGAAATATTTTGGAATTACACATTTTACATTTTTAGACACAGGACTGGAAATTATTTTCATGGCACATTTTTCCTTATTTCTCATTAATGTAATGCCAAAAATATTTTTGTATGTCTTCATTATCATAACGTGTAAAAAAAAGTATTATTTAAATTATAAAGTACATTTACTGAATTAATTTTGTGCTTAATAATAATAATAATAATGCCACAATGTAAAAAGAACCTCGATGGTCCTAAAAAAGCTTTGTTTTCTTTATCCATGCATATGCATTATTTATTTTGGGTTGTTTCTGTGAGATCTACCCATATAGATCATATTATAGATATCTCGACGTCTATAACACGTAGAATAATTAAATATAATTGCTTGTGAAATGAAAAAATATCTAATAGCATAGAAAAATAAACTTCCCAAATAAATATCCACAATTTAGAATACCTTAAATATATTACCATACAAGGTCCATGTGACTCCTCAGTCCCTTGGAGAAGTAAACGCTCACATACAGACAGAGATACAAAGGAAAGTCACTTCCACAGTAAACATTTACAGAAATATTCCACAAGGCGATATGAATTACTACCCTGAACTCGTGAAACTATCACGTCATTCCTATTCAATCAACATGGCTTATTTCTTTTTCCAAACAGATGATCCTAGAAAACATGTGCATCGATGTGAAATCAGAATTGGCCCTATTTTATTTCTTAATGTACATTCCTGGATTCATAAGTGCACATTATTGTATTCATCAATGATGATCAGTGTAATCTCGGTTGATGCTAACCAGTAGCCAATTTTGCAAACTCGTATTTGACTTGAATGGTAAATCATCCAGGGAATCAATTCCCAAAAAGTAAAAAAAAAATCATTTTGTTGGGTTGTGCATGCCTTTGATTGGCCTGCATTGAAGAGAACCAAAACATCTGGATTAGGACTCAGAGCGAGAGACTTATGTTTTAAAAACATGGAGACTATCGAACACGGCACATTTTTTACAGCCCACTCATGAGGGTCTTACACACACACCATTTCTCAAGAGTACAAATACAGACCCTCGCCTCTGTAAGTGATTAGGTTTTTCGGTGGCTCTGTTGGTTAAGCGGTTTGTTGTTTTCCTTCAGTTCCACGGCCTGCTGATGTCCAGGCGTCCTCAGCTGATGTGGTCCATCTCTCAGAAGAGACCCTGCCTCCAGGCGTCGCTGTGGACCAGGCAGCTGCAGCACTGTATGGCCTGCCACCAGCTCTGGCAGTTCAAGGGCTCCATATTGGCTTTGGCCATCATCACTTTGGAGCTGGAGAGGCTGACGCCTGATTGGTTCTCTGTTTTTACCGACCTGCTGAGGAAAGCACAGGTAGTCAAGAACACATCACTGATCTTACAGCTTTTGGGAGATTGATATGCTTGTTGGGAGTATTATGGGTAACTGCTAGTGATGCATAGCATTTATATATTGCATCACTGAAATATGTATGTGTATATAGAATTTTTTTTACTAAAAAACCGAAAGCAGAATTAAAGCGTTTGGGGTTTTTTTTGTTTTGTTTTTTTAGATTTAGCCAAAAACCAAAAATAAACTAATAATCGGTAGGGATGTAACGATACACTCAACTCATAATGCAATACGATTCACGATGCTGATTTCACTATATGATTTTCTTATAATTATAAATTAATTATTTCTCAGAAAAAAATGTAAATTTCTTTGTGAAATTGAAATATGTCAAATAACAACCAAACTGAAATTAAAACAAATCTCAAATCAAATAAATAATAAAAAACAAACTAAGGCTTTGTCTGTGCTCTTTCCATTTAAAATTAGTCAACCACTGCATTTAACTCGCGATCCAAACCCAGATGCTGCATGCATGCAACATGAGCAGTTTCTGAATTAAATTAGATTTGTATAATTTCGAAATTTAAAGCAAAAACAGAAAGGTCTGACTTTAGTTTTGTGAAACTATACTACATAAAACATCTGAACGAAACAAAAACAGCAGACGGGCTGATTCGTTTAACACCTCAACCGACTTCAGTCGTCACATATTTTTCTTGATTTTTCAACTGGCTCGGGGTGCATCATTACATCCCTAATAATCAAACGATTAAGAAAATGTTTGAAGAATCAACAGCAAATATACAGACATTTCACTTGCACACAAGGCAGTTTTTACATCTACTTTTTATAGCAAATAGATGCTGTTAATCCAGCACTAGTGTCCACTGTTGTTTACCTGTATCCAAGTTGTGTGCAAGAAATAGACACTGACAGTCAAAACAAAACATGCCATCAGAGGAGCACTATGGCAAGCCGTTTTAACATCTAATCATTAAACATACTAGCATGCATTTTTTTAAAACAATTTGGGAAAGATTTTACTAAATATTTGTTAATTAATCATGTTTTCAACTCAAAAGTAAATATGCACATAATGTAGTCATTTTAATACATTTTAAATTGTTAATTTGTAAATAAATTAAATAAATAAAATCAAACTTACTAGCTTCCCCAATCTCATTTGCGTAAATTCGCGTGATGAATCTGCATTTTGGCGGATAATAGCCTATGCTATATACTGCTTGCCTTTTGCATGGATATTTAGTGTTATTTTACAACGTACAACAACTACAGAGAAATCTAAACCTAACCGAAATAGTCAAATGAAGATGATGTTGTTGCTGTGCTTGATGACTCTGGGTGCAGTGGCTTCTACATTCAGGTCCGGAAGAGGACAGTTTACATCCAAATGTTATTTAATTTACACAAAACAAAACCTAGACACAGATTTCAGAATATAAACCGCTTAATCTGCCATTTTCAGTAAGATTTACTAAATATGAAGTGTTTGTGCGCCAGCTTTTGTGCGTTTAACTTTAATAATGTCCAACAGAAATTAGTTTTAAAGTAGTGGGTAATTCACTCCTTGGTTTGCTTAAAGTCTACTTGTTGACAAACTTGTTTATAGTGCATTATATTCAATGTGTTTATTGCAAAATAGTGTAGCAAAAATAGACCGTGCACTTAAATGGTACACAGAGTGTGAATTTGTAAGTTTACTATAGAAATGCTAAAAAGTATTTAAAAGTGTGACTGACCAAATCGACTGGTCAAGCTCAAACGTTAAGCTACGCCTATGGCTACTGATACTTATTTTTTTAGCATCTAGTATATATTCAATTAGGTACTAATTATTCATTATCTAGTAGTGCTTATTCTTTAGCTACCAGTACATTTTTAATATATTCTAGTACTTATTCATTAGATATTAGTACACATTTATTGAATACTAATACCCATTCCAAATGTTACCAGTAAGATTTTTTTGGTCACATTTTATTTAAGGTCCAATTATCATTATTAACTAACTATTAACTATGACATTTGTCTCAAACTCCTAATTTGCTGCTTATTAATAGTTAGTAAGGTAGTTGTTAGTTTCGGTATGGGGTGGATTAATGGATCTAACATATGCTCATACAGAATAAGACATTAATATGTGTTTTATAAGTACTAATAAACAGCCAAAGTGCTAGTTATATGCATGCTAGTTCATAGTAAGAAATGGTCCTTTAAAAACAAAAAAACAAAGTGTTACCGTACTAGTTGCATTAAAGTAGATACTTGTAAATTTGAAGGATTGCAATGTTAAAACGGCTTGTAATAAAACATCTCTGTTTGGGTCTGTGATTTCAGGCACTGTACAACGGTTTTAGCCAAAACCGAAAAAAAAATTTTTTTTTAATATTTTCAAATATTTAAAGTTGCCGAAATTGTTGCATCACTATTAACTGTTTTTGTTTTTTTATTTTTTAATTAATAGGATAATTGTCCAAAAATGAACAATCTGCTCACCATAATGTTGTTACAAAACCCATATGGCGTTTTAATTTGCAGAAATCAGTTCTCTTTTTGAAAACGTAGTGCATGTTTCTTACACAAAGCTGTTGCATGGCTTCTGAAGACTTTGACAGCACCATAAAAGTGGACCATATGATGCTAGTGACAGAATTTCACATTTTTGGTCAAATACAACTCCATGAAGTACTTTGTCCATGCCATTCATCGCAGGGCTGCGCCATTTGAGTTTGGGCATAATTTCACTCACATGGATGTTTGGATTTGTTCTAGATGGAGAGCACAGAGTTCATCTGCTGCAAGGAGACGGTGGATGAGTACCTCACCGGCCTCGAGCTCTCCTTACCCACCAACACCGTCTACATTTTGGACGCCGCCAGCATGCTGGTGTTCAGAGGACATGACATGCAGGAGGATGATGGAGATGGGAACAGAAAGACGGCCAGAGGAGCACAGAAAGGGGACCAAGACGTGGATGACTTCTATGACGGTTTCTGGTGCCTTTATGATGAGGACATGTCAAAGAAAACAGGAAGCCATAGACTGCAGGACATGCAAGAGCAAATCTCACCTTGTACTCCGTTACGACCCTCTTCTAGTTAATAAGCTAACGTGGTTTTGAGAAAGTTGGAAGCAGATAAATGATGGCCAAGGCACTTTCTATTTCTTTTATGAAAACTTTATGCAGCACTTTGACCATATGAGATTCCTTTTATGTTTGATCTTTTGTTTTTAAATTCCTTTTATTTTTGTACTTTGCGTTTTATATTTTTGTATTTTCATATGCGTTCTTCATACTGCAAGTGTGCTTTAATGATTATGGTGCTTAAACAGAAGTCAATTTGTTGGCCAGTTGATTAATTCCTTAATGGAGTTATGCTTTATAGAGTTATGCGTTTTGGAATTGATATCTTTTGATATCTTCAGAATAATGTCTTGATTTGTAGTATTAATGTGAAGAGGAAATTACATTTCTATTCAGATGTTTTTTTCCCCCCTAATGTTTTAACCAAAAACACCTCGTCCCAACCCTTTCTTACGGCAGCTACAGATATGAAATTCCTGCTTCTCTGAAATGAAACCAATGGAAATTTCCTTTTCTAAAAGGAATAAACAGAAGTCAATTTGTTGGCCAGTTGATTCATTCCTTAATGGAGTTATGCTTTATAGAGTTATGCGTTTTGGAATTGATATCTTTTGATATTTGATATCTTCAGAATAATGTCTTGATTTGTAGTATTAATGTGAAGAGGAAATTACATTTCTATTCAGATATTTTTTATTTTTTCCCCCCTAATGTTTTAACCAAAAACACCTCGTCCCAACCCTTTCTTACGGCAGCTACAGATATGAAATTCCTGCTTCTCTGAAATGAAACCAATGGAAATTTCCTTTTCTAAAAGGAACAGTTCGTTTTATTTGGTAAAAACAGCAGATTCTTGTGTTTCTGTGTCCTTCTGTGGAATAAAAGCAGACTATTAACTACGCACATTCTTCTTAGTTTTCTTGGGTCAGGGCAAATGTGCAATTACAGCGCCATAGAGGAAAATATAGTTTAAATATACATGTCTGCCATTATTTACTCACCCAGTTGTTCCAATCTCTTGAAAAATAAAGTAATATAGGTTTTGAATGACAAGGAAAATAAATGATAAATTTGAGTAAACTATACCTTTAAGTAATAATTTGTAATACAGCACTTTTTTTTTTTCAAGAGATATTTCTATTCAGCAAGGACGCCTTAAATTGATCAAAAGTTACAGTAAAGACATAAGGTTTCAAAACATTTCTATTTCAAATAAATGCTGTTCTTTTGAACTCTCTATTCATCAAAGAATCCTGAAAAAATAAAAAGCATTACAGTTTCCCAAAAAATTAAGCAGCAAAACTGTTTTCAACATTGATAATAATCAGAAATGATTCTTGAGCAGCAAATCGGCATATTAGAATGATTTCTGAAGATCATGTGACACTGAAGACTGGAGTAATGATGCTGAAAATACAGCTGCGCATCACAGGAATAAATTACATTGTTTGTACAGATATTTTAAATTATATTTCACAATTTTTTTACTGTATTTTTGATCAAATAAATGCAGCCTTTGTGGGCAGAAGATACTGACCACAACCTTGAATAACGGTGTGCAGAATACCGCTGCTATCACACCATTTATTAACCAAGAAAAGTGTTTTAGAGCATTTTCCATCAGTATACCACAAAAAAAGCATGTTTGCGACAGCCAGCCAGAAATGCGTTTGACACCCCTGACATGAATGTTTATTTAATGTTCAGCTTTCACCTCTGCCTTCATTTTTTCTCACCTCAACAAAGTTTCACTGTAAGCTACTTTCAGATTTATTACTGTAAAATAAAAATCCAAAATATGTTTATGTATATATCAAGCAGCACATCCCAACAGCTGAAGGAAATCAGGGGGAGTGTTTATTTCTAACATCAGTTGACACAACATTGCCCCTTATGCAAATGAAGATCTGTAGGAAGTTACCTTAGTTCAGATGGCCTTTACAATATAACCTGAATACCATACAGCCTTATATGCTCTAAAATACAAAAATATATAATTTGCATATCTGTTGTCATGTACTTTTAAAAACAGCACCAATGATAACAGACTGTAGAGAAAGCCATGCAGGCTTATATAATAATAAACTCATACACGTGTGCATTAGTGCACTGTGCTAATGAGTTTGGCTCAGATCTTAAATACTACTGTATTGTACTTTGGCAAGGGAAACATGTACTACTCAATACGTACGTCACAAAATTGGCCTGACTGTAAGACAGATGGACAGATGGTTAGTACCAAAACAAAATGTGTATTAAAACAGAACAAAAACAAACCAGTCCCAAAAATCAAATGGGGTTGACGAGGGAAGGGCATTAAAAATGACCCCCGCCCACCTGGGGGAAAAAAAAGTGTGGCAACACAAGAACAAATTCAGCCCCTGCATCTCTCTGTCTTCCCATCAGGATCTTTGGTCCTTCAGCACAATGTCATGAGGAACATGCCAAAAAACAAAAGCTGATGTTAATAGAGGAAAGTCCACGGATGGCCTGCGATGTGCTCATAAATTAACTGAAAGAAAACAAACACAAAACAAGAAAAAATGAATCAGAAAATAAAATGATGTGATGTAGAATGGAAACATGCAAATAAACTAATATGAATGTAAGCGTATCAAGAAGCTCAAACACACAAGCACGTTGTGATACAGGGAATAAATGGACGTATAATATAACTTCAGTAACTTGGTTGAGAGTTTTTTTCCATTATTATCTGATCATATTCAAACAGAAAATAACACATTTAGAATATTTTCCGGAATAGCAGTCACATTTTTATCTGAAACGTGCTGAAACAAAGCAACCTACATAATGCAAACCACATTAAGCACTCGAAACGTTCAGAATTAGAATGAAAGAGGTACATAAATTGGTCCCACTTTAGTTTAGGAACCAGTTCTCACTATTAACTCTGACTTTTGCCTCAATAAACTCCTAATTTGCTGGTTATTAATAGTTAGTAAGGTAGTTGTTAGTTATAAGAATAAGACAGAATAAGGCATTAATATGCGATTTATAAGTACTAATAAACAGCCAATATGCTAGTAATATGCATGCTAATAAACAACTAGTTAATAGTGAGAACTGGTCCTTAAAATAAAGTGTTACCCTTACGTTTATTTGTATTGTGCATTTCCAACACGCTGGCAGTTTCAGTTTAGCTTTAAATAAATTTGTTTAGGCTTGTTTATAATAAATGTCATTTATAATGAATGCCACAATAATTTATGTTTGTTTTATACTGTGTGTATTTTAGTTCAGAAATGAAAACGGTGTTTAAAATGTAAACATGGCTTTATTTACCCGTATTTCACCTAATTCTAAATGTAATGACCAGGTGTGACTTAATATAGTCATGTGCAACTTTTTACCAGAAAATATGGTATAAAAGCAGATTTCAATGGGTGGATCCACGTCAGGTACAAACCACAAAATGGATGCTCTGGAAATGTTACACGCAGATACCATCATTAACCACAAGATGGTGCTAGATAAGCTTCATTTGAGCTGCAAGAGGTCAGAACTGGCTACCGGCCTGAATTTAACTCTAATATATTTGACAAAGTTGAAAATCAATGGTTCTTGGCAAAGTGCTGGCGAATCTGCAGTGCTGCGGCAAATGAAATGATATTTTACCCAGCAGTAAGTTTGCAGTCGGAAATGAATGTGACAAGACAGAGTACCGCAACATAACGGAGAACAGCTTTCTTTTGGATCGTCTTTACTGGCAGCATTAAACGAATGTGTTTGAAACGCCATGCTACTATTCTACTCTTACTATTTCAGCAGTATTTACATTTATGCATTTAGCAGACAAGCGACTTACAGTGCATTCAGGCTATACATTTTTTTACCAGTAGGTGTGTTCCCTGGGATTTGAACCCACGACCTTTTGCGCTGCCAACGCAATGCTCTACCACTGAGCCACAGGAACAGTATAAAGTAAGTATACTGTGTGCAGTATGCAAATTGTGTGTATGCAGGCTTCTGATATCTGATGGCCAAAAGTAATATTTCGGGATGCCTTTGTGGACACCAAATATGTCAAAAATTGGCGTGACTGTCACGTCCTGGATTTTAGCTATTTATATATGCTTATATGAAGGGTTCATGATTTGGATTTCATTTCACACCAGATGTAAGAACAGCTAAATCTCTGCACTTTGAGAAAAAAAAAAAGAAGAAAGGATAAGAAGAGCAAACTCACTTTTTCTTGTCTTTGTCCTTCTTGAGGGGCTGTGAGAGCGAGAGGGTCTCGGCGGCCACCTTCCTCCTGTTGAAGGCGTTCATCTCCTCCTCCAGCTCCCGTCTCTTCTCCTCCACCTTCCTCTTCTCCTCCTGGTGCATGCGCTTCAGTTGCTCGAACTTCTCATGTAACTGAGGACAAACACACAAGTGAGCGGTATTCCTGAAAGTTATGCCAGAAGCTTTGTTTGAACCTGCACTATTTCCACTTGCATCTTGTCTAGCAGGTTTTCACTGGTCTTATTTAAAGGTCCACTGAAGTGCATTGAAACGTACAATGTGTTGATGTAATTTCAGCTGAAACAGGAAGACAAGGCGGGACATATAGCTACAGCTCCGCCCCTTTTTAAAATAGCCAATAGCATTTCGTTTACATCACAGTTCAGACAGGTCGGTTGAGCTCAGTAAAGCTGCGTTTGACAGCTTATTAGATTCTATGTGAAGCTGTTACTAAAGCAAAACAGTGATCATAATCATGCTGAGGATGTGTAGCTTGAGAGGCGAGTAATTTATGTTGGTTCATGGCACCAATGTTATCTCTTCTGCTCGTCAGTGCTGTTTCTACTGCAGAGCCTGTCTAATCATTTCTCCTCCTAATCTCATCCATATCGATATAAAATATGGCATTGTGTGTAGAATTCAAATGGGTCCGATAGGTTTTATGGCCTGTGCCGACTCGTGCATATGACCCGCTCTGTGCTATCAAGACTTCTTTCGCCCCAATGGAAAGCACATTTACACTGTCTGGATCGTTCCTTATCCACTATATAGTGCACTACGTGCCATTCACTATACAGAAAATACCAATTCTGTGAACGAGTGACCGATTTCAGGTCGCAGCTTCAGCGTGTATTTAGTGTCGGGGGCGGGACGCTTCGGATTCTTGAAAGCATTTGATTGGACAGAAAATCTGATGAGACGCTGAAGTGCAGAGTGATGTCATCAAAATCGTTGATCCATATTGGCGGAAGTGAGAGACTGCTTATATCTTGTAAATGTGAATTTTGCCATTGTTTTGGAGCAAACATATTCGTACTAAAAGCCAAAAAACTTCAATTTTGATTTCATGGGGACTTTAAGATGACTGGTTGGAGTCTGATGGTTGATGTTTTAAAGAAGAATAAACCGTACTGAGGCGGGACTAACCTCTCTCTCCTTCTCCTTCAGCTCGGCCTCTGTCTCCTTCACTTTGTTCACAAACATCTGCCGCATCCCCTCTTCCTTCCTTTGCAGGTCTCCAAGAAACTCCTTCCTTTTGGCTTCATATGTCTC